AATCAACTGCCGGCAGTTTAGTTTCCATCAGAGATAGTGCATTCCCGATCATTACCTTTGTCCGACAAAGGGGCTGATTCTATCACTATGATCACCCACTCAGATGAATTCTCAGACTGTCCCAACATACCAAGGTTTTGATCCCCGCTAAGGATTTCACTGATTGGCATATCAAAGACAACCCAATCCGACACCTAGTGAAGTGTCATAATCGAGTCTAGGGGTTAGGTGTAACTTTCTAGTTTTGCCTATCTGTCTCCAAGGTCTAGGGCAATACTAGAAATCTAGTCCGGTTCAAGGATTCGAGTAATCCCATACTGCATGTGCCTTGGGTCTTGCCTTGGTGGCCGAGACATGCCATCCCAACACTTGGTGGCACACCAATATCAGCATTGGCAGGATAAATCTCCCCAGACTTATCCAATCGACTGTGAACATTTAAAACTAACACGAGTCTCTATAAGTGTCCAGTTTTAGGGTCTTACACAGAATTATATCAAACAACATGAATCAAACATGCACTTTATTTATTTACACTAAATAACAAAAGTACATCAAATCAGATTGAAGCTAAGGGCATATAAAACTGTCTAACAAATTGATTCACCCCATGAGAGAGAGAGAGAGAGAGAGATGGTATTACATATATTTATATATTAAAAAGGAATGGCCACGTTGGCACTTTCTTACTTTTGGTTATTTTTGAGAATTAAAAATCTTTTTTTATAGTTTTTTTTTTAATTTTCTCATTTTAAAATTGAACAAAATAACTAAGATTTAGTAATTTTATCACCTCTCATTAACAATTCCCTATCATCTTTATCATTAACCCCTTTAATTGTCTTACCATTAATTATGCCATTAACCCTCTCCATCAATAACTCATGCCATTAACTCTCTCCTTCTCATTATATGACATAATATAGTTACATTTTGTGTGTTATATATTATTTTAGGTTTAATTTGTACTTTTTATTTTAGTTTTTACTATTTTATAAATAAAAACTAGGAATTAAAATTTGAGACTATAAAATGAGTTTTCTTTATATATATATATATATAAAGTGGAGTTGTAAAGATCATGAAAAGTTACTCAAAAAAAAAAAAAGATCACCCCAATCAGACAATTGATCACAAAGTTAAGCCCTGTAAAAGTTTTCAAAATAATGTATATTGTAACCCATGACCCAATTACTAGATCAAAATTTACCCAAAAAACAACAACTAGATCAAAAGGGTCAATGATTCAACCACCTAGGTTGAACAAGTTTTGACCAAATCAACAATTTTTGACAAAATAGTAGGTTTTAAGAAATTCAAAATTAGAAATAAGGCCGAGTGAAAGTTCGAATGGTTTAACCATCTGAGTTAATGATGAGTTAAAAATATCGAATAAAACATCACAAAATTATAATCCATTTATATTCCACTTAAAATAATAAAAAATACTTAACCATAGTAAAAATAATTTATTAAATTACTTAAATAAGATAAAAGTAATTAATAATTATTATTATTGATAAAAATATTTTTATTAATATAATAAAAACAAATAAATTCATAAAATGTAATAAGATAAATTATAACTAATATCCTTTTAACATTAATATATAACTAATACAAAATTATCTAACAATTATTAGTTTTATAATTAATTTTTTACTAACAAACTTAAACTCCACTTAAAAATAAAAGTTTAATATAATTAATTAAATTTAATAAGGATTAATAAAAAAATAATAAAAATTTATTAACATTAAATATAGTTTAATTAATTTAATGTCAACTACTTAAATTCTATTTAAAAATAGGGAAAATTATAAAAAACCTCCTTGGGTTTTCTAACAATTCTATGAACCTTTCATATATATGTTCTGACTTTAACAAAAACCATCATATTGTTTTGAAAAAGGTATAAATATTTTCCTTTCGTTAGCATTTGAAATAGAAAATGTTTATGTAATGCATTAATTTTCTTTATACCAAATTTACTCTTAACCAACTTTATTCAGAAATAATTAAAAACCATAAAATTATAAAAATTAATAAAAAGTTTAGCACTAAGATACAAAAAATAATATAGACTAATCTAGCCACTCTCACTGAAGTGCAACTTGAATTGTGATCAAATAAACTAGACATAACCCCCCCAACTTGAATTGTGGAACATGTATAAATCATTCGTTCTGTTTCTTTTCATACCTGTCGGCCGATACGAGCCCGTATCGGGCTGTTTTGGATCTGTATCGGCCGATACGGTCCCGATACAGTTCGTATCGGCAGATAGAGTTCGTATATGCATCCCTCCAAACTAAGAGGCATGTGATCAAACCCTTGGAGAATAGATTCATTGAAAAATTTCTACCTCAAAGAAACCGTTATAGACAGCAAATTTGAAACAGTACATGCTCCTGCCTTCTGATTGGATTGGGTTGGACTGACATTCAATCATGGTTTTGCAGCTGAGTCAAGGCGAATAACAAAGAAAATTGACCGTAAACAGTATATTATTCATCCCTCCGACAATTACCATAAAAACCCTCCCAAAATCCAACAGCTTCTAATCCCTGAAAGGTACCATCATTGTTCAAAGACAACTGCATCTCTACTAAGTCTCTCTTATAGTATTGTATAGTAACCTCTAGTCATACATTGGTCAAGTTCCATATAAAAATATGTCAAGGACTTGAGGATATCAACATATCATCCAATTTGATGCTCGTACTTGGTATCAGACTAGAAATTAACATGGGGAAATAAATTAAGTATATTTACATATGCAGCTTTGACATCGTTTATTAATGGCGATCAACATTACAATGCTGCTAAGGAGCTTATTGAACTTTGTTAAGCTTTGACAGACAGATGGAGGACTATTTCACAGTGGTAGAGAAATTGGTACTTGCGAATTGAGATGCAGGGAGCAGATTAAGAAAGTAGTCGTTAGCTTCCCTTCTTATATTCCTAATGTGGGAAAGTTAGTGATCAAATGGGACACTTACATGGCTCAATGTCCCACGTCTTCTCTGCATATTCTTCCATTGTTCTATCACTGCTAAATCTTCCAGAGCCAGCAGTGCAGAGAATACTCATCCGAGTCCATCTCTCTTGATCAACAAACGCTCTGTCAGCAGCAGCCTACAGTTGACTTGTGTTAGATTTCAACTTCCAATCCATTTTGGGTAAGAGAAAACACACTAATGGGATGGAGAGTTCCAAAGGAAAACAAAGTCTACCTGTGCTTCCAGATAACTTGTAAAATCATCACCAAGAAGAAAGAAATCACCATCACCCTCCACTGTGTCACATAATGATTGGAAGTAATCTTTGAAGCCAAAATAACCTTCCCGAACCATCCTAGAGGGAATTTTGCAAAAGGATCAATTGGAAATGTGAATTAAATATCTCAACTACCTGCTAAATTATATACATGTTACCAGTTGTTGCATGTAGTATCCCCACATGCAATCAGGCCAATGAGTGCGCATGTTACCAACAAATTGGTATAAAATTCCTTCTCTTATTCCATCCTTCTTAGTAATTATTTTCTCTCAATATCCTATGACTTTGATAAAATCCATGAACCACTAGGCATTACAATTGTATATTTTGAGAATGTGATGTGCAGATCAAGACTCCCCCCCACCACAATTGGTGTGACAGGTATTCAGGCATAATCAAACCATTTGGGAATTTAGTAAATTGATTATATAAGTCCCATTCTAGAATTTCCCTAATTGGGTTTGAGAAAGCAGCTATGAAACTTCCAAAGTTACCTAAAGGCCCCAATTGGCATTTATAAGCAACTATTCTATCTTGGTTGAACCTTGATAGGAATAATGTTAAAACATAAAAATGATCTTAAATGGTGAAATTCATATGAAAGAGAATGAACACTGACATGGCCTTAACTGAATCAAAGAAAGCACATGACAGATTCAACCAAGAAAAGGAACAATGGAATGCATACATACTTACCAAGATGATAAATGGACATTATTGAAGATGTTAATTAATGCAACAAGAAAAAACATGTCGTGAATTAGTCTAGATGATACAGAACATACAGAAGCTAATATTTTGGTGCCATCACATTGGTTATTCATTATCTAGTTAACAAGTTAAAGTCTATGCAATTCAAAGTCAAAAAGAGTTTTTGACTGATTTATGGACAGTTAATGAAGTGGTAATATGATTCTCTGCCTCTCAACTTTTAGAAAATTTGATATTATGACTAAAGTACACTGATTGTTCCTCAATAACCATATGCTTTTGTTATAACTGACTTCATATTTGATTCAATCCATAAATCCATTTTTCTTTCCTATGAGTAACATGCTCTCTGGTCTTATTGTTCAAATGTATGGTATTACTTTGATACATATTGATTCATGTAAGTTGTTTTCTACTTTTCCTTTTATAGTTTCATGCCAAACTTGTAAAGGATTGGACTGTATTTATAGAAATTTTTTTAGTTCTTCAGGAATGAGAAAATCCAAATTATGGTTAGTTTCTAATTTCAATTTCTTAAAGATTAATGAAAGGGATTCTATATATGATCTTATAAATATGAGATAGTTTATTATTAAAATTTAAATGAATCTTTTCTTAACTATTTGTCTTGGGTGTGACTCAAGAATTTGCTTGTGTTGCAACTACATTGAAGGCCTAGTATTAATTTTAATGTTATTCCATGCTTAATTCAGGAGAGGTGACATTCCTCCATCTCCTATTGTCCTATTCTCTTAATTTTTCTGTTTTGTGAGAGATTTGATCATCCTAAAACTATCATTGAAGGGACGGGAGATCCATCATATGGATGGTCGAACCCTGCAGGAAGGTTGGGCGAAATTTCAAAAATTTCTTTACTCCTATCCGGGAATCCTATTCCCAATTTAGAAAACTGCATTTTCAAGATTCGTTCTTGTAACCAAACCGGACCAAATCTGGAACAAAACAAGGGAGAGATATACCTGATACGGAATCCACGCAAGAATGCTCCTCCCAACGTAGGTGTTCACGCCCAAAGAGTGTACCAAATCCTCCCTCCACTAAAGATGACATAGCTTATGATGAGGCAGGATCAGCAGGTAGTTCTTCACCGAGAACTAGTGATTCTTCAGCAAGAATCGAATAGGACAGTGAGCACATCTTCTAAATTGTTTCTTCTGGCAAGAAACAATTTCAAGATCGAATCTTGATCCAATCCAAGAACTGGAGATCGAACAAGGTGGGGCGGCAAGAGCAGGAAGAAAAAGAGCAGAAGGCAAGAGCAGTCTAACTGTGTTATCTTCTCTTTGTATTCAGCGAATGTATCTTTGGAGGTTCGCCCTGCTCTCTTATTTATAGCCTTAAAGAGATAACTTCCTAATCTCATTAGGAGTTTCCTAATCCAAATCTTTTATTTGGATTTGGACTCTAAGTGATAAGGATAACCCCTTATCTTATTTGCAGATAAAGATCAGCCTTCCTAATCAAATTAGGAGTTCCTTTTGAAAGGGATGGTAGGATCCATCGTATGGACGCCAAAACTGTTGCAGAATGGGTGGGCGAATTTAAAAAAATTTCTACCTTCCTTCCAACTGGGAATCGTATTCCCTGATTTTAGAATCAAAATTCAAGGATCCTACTTGAACCAAACCAAACCAGATTTGAACCAAAAGACAAGGGAGGGATTATACCTGATCCAGAGAAGCAATATCTCCCAAAGTTGGTGTTCACGCCCAAAGAAGACACCAAGATCAGCTCCCACTGAAGATGACACAGTGATGATGGAGCCAAACCAGTAGTGTTCGTCCCACGAACCAGGTTCTTTTGAAGAACTCGATGGAAGACTGTGAGCACCACACGTACAATCAAGAACCTTTCTTGATTTTCTTAAACTGAGAACTCGATCTGGCAGAAAAGGTGGCGGCTACTGTTGGAGGAGAATGCTAGAGAAGAAGATGGCGAGCTGCTATTTTCCTCTCAAGGGTTTCTGAGATCCTATCTCAAGAATGCAGAGTTGTCTCTTGGAAAAACCTAGGGTTCGAATTCAAGTAATTCGAAATTAGGGTTTTTCCTCATCTTTCTTAATGATTAAGAAAACCTCCTAATCATATCAGGAGTTGCCCTTATCCAAATCTGTATTTGGACTAGGACTCTTCTTAATCTTATCTGCAGATCAGATAATCTTTTGGGCTTATCCTAATCTTAGATCCGCCCCCTTAAGTGACTGATCAAATCAGCCCAGATCGAAATGGGCTTTAGGCCCATTAAGTAATAAGTGCTCAATAGTCTTCCAAACTGCTGCCCAGTTGG